CCCAACTCCTCACCCCCTTATGACCCAAGTCTTATGACATCTGTACCCCAAACCTTATCTTGTCCTGCAGAACTCTGCGTGATTTCAGCCCACCCGCCCAATGGGCCCACTCGATGGACTCATGGCCTCCCCAACTCAGCACCTCCCCCCAACAGGACCACCCCCATGAACTAATGACTCGCTGTACCCCATGACTGCTGATTCCAGCACCCCACTCAATAAGACCACCTAATGAACTAATGACCCTGCCACTTCTTCCTCTCCACCCCTTCCCTGTTTTTGAGATTTTCAAGCTTAAATACTGCACCTTGTTAATGCTCAGCGCGCCTCTGTGCACCTTGCATAGAGAACGCCGCTGGGTACCAGCTAAAATAAAGCACTTCTTTTAACTTTTGGACTTGCCTCGTTGTCATCTGATTTTTGAGCTACAACATGGGGTGAGTAAGTCTCTTCGTCTGTACTGTGGGGATGCAACAGCATCTAGGGATTTGGGGTTTTGTCAGGTGACAGAATCACAGAATCCATGTTTCCTTCAAGCCGGACATACAAAGCTTGGCACTCACAACTGCATAAGGGGCACCATTCAACCTTAAAGCAGAGGAAGTACCTTACATGCCAGCAACGAGAGGAAACGTCCAGGCTAGACAAAGCCAAGCCCGTGGAGACTAGCGCGGGGCTGGCTGCTTGAGGGTGCACTGCAGTACGGGCCGGGATTGTTCAGCAGGTATGAAGTTTCTTTTCTGGGTGTTGGGAATATTCCAGAAACAGATGAATAGAAATGGAGACTACACAACATTGCAAATATCCTAAATGACACTGAAAGGTACACTTTAAAAGGGTTCAGTTTATCGAAGAAAAGAAAGAGATGCACTGGCAGCAGGAAGTGCAAGAGGAAAGGATAGAAAGAAAGGAGAGAGGGCCAGCCAGATAGCTCAGTGGACTAAAGCACCTGCTTAGGCAGAGCACAGCCAGGGTTCGATCCCCTGTGTGCCGTGCTAGCCCTACCCCCAGGGCATGCTGAGACAGCAGTTAAGACTGGGCGTGGTGGTGTGTGCCTGTAATCCTAGCACTTGGGGGGCTGAAAACAGGAGAATCACTACAAGTCCAATCCATGTAATGAGACCTGGTAGACCCTGTACTAAATACATAAAAAAGAAAGGAGAGAGGGAGGGGGAGGAAGGAATAATAGAGAAAGAAAAGCAAGGAAAGGACAGAAGGAGGAAGAAAAGCACTGCGTGCATGCAGGCTAAGGTGACCTGGGAACACAGTACTCTGTGAGTGGAATACTTAGTGAATGCAGGCAGCTGTGGTGGTGCATATTGCAGACTCAGCACTCTGGGAGGCTGAGGCAGGAGAAGCACAAGTTTCAACCCCAGCCTGGGCAACTTATTGATTTAGTGAGACCCTGTCTCAAAATAAAAGTTAAAGGATTGAGAATGCAAGACCCTGGGCTTGATCTCCAGTAGTGGGGAGGGAAAAAAAAGAGAAAAGAACTTCAAGGAATGGAATTTTACAAACACCCAACAGAAGGAGGAGGTTACTGAGATTCATTCCTGTCAACATCTATGTACAAAACATGCCAGGCACCTGGAGGCTGGGACAGAAAGTGTGAGGTCTCTGCCCCTCTGCGGAGGAGGTGACAGTTAAGCTGAGACATGCGGGGAACCTGGTCTTGGGCAGGGTGTGCAAAAAGGGAACAGCAAATGCTGAGGCCTGAGAAAAAAGTTTCCGGCAGTGCCCAGGCAGTGGTAGGGTCCCCTGGGGAGAGGGAAGCAGCAGGCATGGATACAGCGATGCGACGGCCCCTCAGCTCAGCTTGGCTCAGCCAGTCCCCCTCTATGACAGCCGGTGGGCCTACAGTGGCTTCCACTGCTACAACGTCCACGCTAGACGAGGAAACTGAGGCTCAGTAAAAGAAGTTATTTTTTGCTTTGCCCTCAAGTTCAAAGTAGCATTTCCTATGTGCTAGATATCATTCTAGGCACCAGGGGAACAAAGCAAAGCCCCTGCTTTGTGGCACCCACCACCTACAAGGCCAGACAGCTACAGTGCCTATGCTTGAATCAAACCAGATGAATGGCTTCAAATATGAGTGCTTGGAAGGAACAACAAGGAAACCAGTCAGGGGAGGAGAGAAGGGGACATCCCTTCAGACGGAGAGGCAGTCCAGCCAAAGGGAAGGGCAGGCGCAAAGGTCCTGGGGCAGAAATGAGCCAGGTAAAACAGGCAGGCATGGATAATAGCAGGTAGGCAGTGGCTGAGTGTGGGCGTGGGAAGGTGGGCTGCGGTCAAGTCAGCAGGCCTGTGGCTGCCCCACAAAAGCCTTGGGTTTATTCTCAGAGTAGTGAAAAGCAGTAGAACGTGATGGTTAGGCAGGGGAGTGATCGTTTTATCCAGTAAGGCTGCTTCCCACCCTTTAACCAGACCTCCATGTCTCTGGCCATATTTGGGTAAACATCCCCAGAGATCCTCCGTTGGATGCTACAGAAGGTAGGGCCCAGCCGGAGGTCTTTGGGGCTGTGCTACGGAAGCAGACAGTGGCAACCCAGGCCACTCCTCTGTGCTCTTTCCTTCTGCTTGCTCAGCCCCCAGATGAGCCTCTCGCTCAGATGTGGGTTGGTTTCCACCATGATATGCAGCCTCACCTTGCCCCACAGCAACAGAACCAGCATGGACTACAACCTCCCAAACTGAGCCAAAATAAGCCTCTTCTCTCCACAAG